GGGGGGGGGGGGGTAATTAATATGCAACTAGCGACTGTTAAGTGTCAAAATGAGTCCTTAAAGTATCAATCATCCTGTAACCGGAAATCAAGGTACAACCTCCAATATACTCCAAGCTTACAAATGTTAGTCCCCCCCAATCAAAACTCAGATATTACCGCAAGTGATGTCCATTGATAGTAGAGAATACACTGAAGTGGAATAGAAGAACAAATGGACAAACAAGCAGCAATGAAAGCCTTTAACTTAGATACTTACAAGGAATTCATCCCGAATAAAATATTTTGCTCTTGTAACAGCCTCCTCGTCACCTGGCTCTGCCGTGGCTGAGAAAAACAACAACAAAAACATTTGTATAGAAGATGGAATTTAGGATTTAGAAATGCTGGGTTTTAGCAAGAGAAATCACTCTCTTAAGTTGGTGGATACACCTCTATGGCAGTTCAGGCTGATAGTTGCGGTAGAAAATGGAAATTTTTCTCAAGACGAAAAGCCACAGGAGAAGAAATTGTGATCTTATTAGACATGGATATTTTTTGGAGTCTGCTGTAGGGTGAGACAAGACAAAGAGAAAAAAATGTCCGCCCGTATTCCACTCTGAACTTACTCACCCTTACACACCCTTACTCACTAACTTGTTTCTGATTGGCCCAGAACCTAGAGCCAATCCATAATATTGTGTGAACTCGAAATGATAAATGTAATATTTGGAGGTTTCCCTGCAGATCATACATCTATCATGTCAAGTTCATTCAAGGTCACAATAGAGATTGAAATAGGTTTATTATTTCTTTGAAAGAAGTCTACAAAATGTATAATAGAATAATTATTGAATTTGGTTTTTGCATGATATCATAACTTATCAAGACCTCGGCTGTTTTATCTGTCGAAGCCTTATCATCACATGACCGACGCAGCCAGCGTATATACTCATGGATACCTCATTGTGCTCAATCTATACGGCTTACACAAATATCTTCCCAACCACCCACCATTGGGTTGTCCTTCACGAATTTGCAAGATGTGATCCTATTGGAGGGCACACATGTGTAGAACAATAGAAAACAATGACCTTTCCCCAACCCYGCCCCTAAACCTAACCAATCACAGGGGATGTTGCAAATTCGTGAAGCCTAACCCCCACCATTAACACTCAGTAAACAAATGTGTTAACATAATGTGCACTGCGTCCTTTGAAGTGACAAGGATGGAGTACTCACCATCTGGAGGTGTCCTGTACCGTTCAAAATCAGGGAAGTAGTCTTTTATCAAGGATTTCCCAGCCCGCACCTTTTCTTTTAACAAGTCTTGCTTGTTTAAAAATAAAATTACAGAAATGGTCCTCAGCCATCTGGAAGAGAATGGAAATGTTGATTAGTACTGGGGGAAAATCTCATAAAATTTACAGGTTTAAACCAATTTATCATTGTTTGGGCCCATAAGAAGATAACTTCAAGCTTATAATCTTCGAGTCAGTTAGATTTTATTGGTTTCACTGTTTGCTTCACCAGTAACTGACTGGTTTGCATAAAAAATTAATTCTTCCTTTTATGCATTGGAATAAATAAGAATTAGCTATATCTCTCTGGACGCCGGACAACCTGCCCCTGCTTTGTCCTTAATACTCTATTCATCTCATTTTCACGGGCTTGTACAATCATTGAAGTATTAATCTATAAGGCGTTTTTGATGCTTTGATAGCTATTAAAGATTTGTTTCGTGTTTCTTCAAGAATATTTTTCTTGGGGAAAAAAATCTGTGGCTGAGGGWAATTATTCCATGAAAAATCTTCACACATCTTCAACTTTATCATTTTTTTTTACCCATTTAATCAGTGGTTTATTCATCTCTTTGTCAATCCATTCATGCATTTCTTCACCCATTGGTTTCCTAGGTGATTTATTTGTTTGCCGATCCATAATTCATTCATTCACCCATTTATTTTTTCAGAGATTTATTGGATCATTTCTTCATTCATCCATCTATTTATTCATGCATTTATTCACTCATCCATTTAACTCAGTAACTTATTTATTTATTCTTTCCTTCGTTTAGTCAGTGATTTATGCTCTCATCCATTCCTTGCTTCACCCAATCATTTACTCCGAGATTTATTATTTCATTTATTCAACCATTCATTCACTCAGTGATTATTCATTCCTTTCTCAGTCCATTTTGTACTTAATAGATTTATTATTCTATATTTAACTTTTGATGAATGTAGAGATACCCTGTAGATATGTCATCATTAAACCGTTATCRTTATCATTATCATTATTATTAAAAAGCAGTGGGATCATATATTTAGGAGCGTAACCAAAATCATCATCAGATCCACTTATTACATTTTTTGTTGTCGTAACAAAGCATGGGATAATCCTGAATATATTGTATCGTATAATCCTAAAATATATTGTATTGTATTGTATTGTACTGAATTAATAAAGGTTTAGTTTTGTAAATTTTCAAGTGTTCGTAAAGTAATATTCGAGTAGTCAATTGTAAATCACCTTTAAGTAGAGAGATTTACAATTGCTGTAAAAAATGTTAAAATAAAGTTTTCATTATCACTTAACCATTCATTAACTCACTCATCAATACATATTTTAGCATACTATCTGTATCTCTATAAAATAAACATGACATGCTTAAATACCTGTTATTCCAAATACTTCTGAACAATTCAAGTGACTCCTTCAACCGATTCTGGAAAGAAAGAGAAAAAAATCCTTATTATGTCAAAAAAAAATCCCAAATTGATGTCAAAAAATAGGTCTGTGAAGATCCGTGCTAGAATAACTTAGGTGTCAATCTCTTTAGAGTTAAGTCATTTAACCCGTGAAATAGATATTAGACTAATACACATTAGTAGACCCTAATTCATTTGTTTTCTTTGGTGTCTATTTGACTATTACATCTTAACTATTAAATTTTGTTTCAGGAGTTTCATGTCTTCACTCTAATACGGCTTCTATTAATTACTGATAATGCTTGAGATGATTATTTATATGGACAACTTCCTAACAAAGAATCTTATTCCCAAGGGATGACATGTAGTTTGAAATGGGAAAACATAAAGCCCAAGCTGAAAATGTCATCATTTTACATCTATGCACAACACCATGACTGTTTGGAGAATGTTCAGAGAGTTTTCAGAGACCGATCAGAGACCGTGCAGAGGGAAAAAATAGTTTAAGGGGATACAAGTTTGGGACATTAAACAATTTTTTTTTCCTTATATACATGGTATAATTATTGTTAGTAAAAATACACAGGTGATTATTGAAAATCTCGTGTGCTGATTGGTCAAAAAATTCACACTATCACACCATAATCACCTCCAGCGATAATCCAAAATGGTGGCCAGCCGCTTTGTTGCTGTTACCGGAAAATAAGTCTTTTGTCTTCTTTTTTTTTTTGAAAGAATCACCTGTGTATTTATACTAAAACAATTATTTGCCTCAGCCTCAGTGAATATCAGAGAATATTTACCTCACTGCTCGAAGACTCGCGTCTCGGTAAATATTCCCTGATATTCACTTCACCTTCGGCGAATAATTTTTAAATAATATGATGGCAAAGTAACAAACCTGAGTAGAATCTTCTCTTAGTACCAAATTGTAACTACTGCATGCGACCACAAATATTATTGCTGTTACATCTGCAAGAATCAAGCAAATAGGTGTTCAGGAAATGTTATTATTTTCCATTAGAATAGATAACTAGCTAAAAACTAGTGTGAGCTGCGTCGGTGTTTCTAATGAAACAGTAATGATAAAAGGGTAAATTATACACTGTGAAAAGAGGAAAAACTGACTGAAGTTTTGGACGCTAGTCCTTCGTCCGACGAAGGACCAGCATCTGAAATGTCAGTAAGTTTTTTCTCATTTTCCATTGATCATCAAACATAAGAGTGCAGTGATTACTGATGGATTACTATTAGCCTACTCAATTGCTTATATGGTCTTGTTAAATTAAAATTAAATCAACTTTGTTTATAAAAGGGATAACACTTGACAGTTTCAAGTTTCAAGTTGGTTAAGGAAGTGACTGCCATTAACAATGTATTCCCAGCCATGTGAAGGTCTAACCATTTGTAGATGTAATTACAAGGGCAGCACCTTCTTTCCAGTTATTTTAAGACCCAGAGTGTTGGTCCAGCCAAGGCTTGAACCACAACCTCTCACACAACAGACAGATGCTCTTTTATACCAACTGAGCTAACTGGTGGGCATTTACTCAAGGTAGATTCCCAGAATGTACCCTGTTAAACCCACAAGGCGCCCACATCACACAGAATACTGCTAAACAGGTGCATTTTAAACATGTTCTATGCAAGCTGTTACTTACTTTACAATATGCCTGTAAGTCTGCAGCACTGTCTACACTATCTACAAGCAACACCTATCCACTCGGTTAAAGATTACGGTACTACCAGTGAATTACACACAATCTGTATCAGCTAATGTAGAGGTGGGGAACGAGTGAGGAGTTAGTACAACATGTACACAGTATGTTAGACATGCTTTGGATTCTTTATGTCATACATCCAATCAAAATAAAGATATGGTTAAACATTTAGCTACATTGTGAGGCCTATCGATAATAAGGCTAAACAGATAAATATGTAAACAAATATCAATGACACAGTTGAACTTTATATTATCAGGAAAAGCATTCATAATAACCGCTTTAGGCGTACATGCAAAGCACTGAGACAAAAACAAGTGTCTGTATTCATCCCTTTCCATACATTAAAGAATGGTGGATGGAGTAGATAAATTCATTGGATAACAGTGCCATGGACTTATCCACTGGATAAGGATTTATCCATTTGATAACTGTACCCACCCTTTGTATGACCCGGCCCCCTTCAATGCTGGTTAAACACAAAGCATTAAATCAAGGCTACAAATTAGTTTCAAAGGGTCATTTGAATCTGAATCTTGCAATCTCGGTTGAATGCATTGTATTTGACCAGTGAGTAGGTGTAGGTGGTGGATGACAGTGTGTCTGTACTAAGTGGATGTCTTCGAATGCATTGGTTCAACTGTATAAAGATGTCCGCTGGTGAAAAGCAGGGTTCAACTGATGTCCACTAGTGAAAATCAAATTCTAATTTTGTAGTGAGAAACTACTGTACGATGACAAATGACGATGATGATGTCATCTTTGAGCAAAAATATATGTGAATATCAGCTGTAAGAGGGTTTGTAAACCCAATCTAAATCTAATGCATTTACCACTCCTGGGTGGACTGCGTAATGCCTAACAGGTTTTGCAACCCAATCGATAAGGCAGCTGAGATCAAATAAGAATTTAGAAGTTGATCCTTTGTGGAGGAAGGAAAAACCGTAGAACGTGGAGAAAAAACCCTCAAATTACAGGAGAGAACCAACAGGTATGTGTCATTTATAGACATGGTAAGGAAATCTCAAGACACCACTGGGTTTATATGTTCATCCTACCGTTAAAACACTGTATCCATTTTCTTCTTTCATCTCTCTGGCCTCCTACATCAAACATGCTGCAAGAAAGAAATAAGCAAAGGTTAGTAAACAGGCGGCTTTTATTGATTCTTTATTTACTGAAAACCAAAAGAATATACTCAAATCACAGGAGAAATGTAATGAGTGGCTCTAGTGAGACGAGACAAGTTCAGGAATATCCTATGTGCATTATAAAGGTAAAGGAAAAGGTAATTTATTTTACTTCGATAATGCGGGGAGTGGTTGCACAATTCTCCCAAGCCAAGGGCTCATGTTTAATGCCCTCGAAGGTGCACCTTCTACCCCCTCTTACTATCAGTGCTCCTTTTTATGGGTATTTAAAGCTAATTAAAGCTACACAGAACAGAGAGAAGTCGAAATAGACTCGGAGTTTGACTGAGGAGTTTGACTGAGGATCAAACTATAGACCTCTAGCTCTGAAGACCACACGCTAACCAGCTAAGCTACGCCTGCTCCTATAATATAGTGTCACACATAGTGTCATATACTACAACTACCAAAATACCTTGCACACTTTCTTTGACTCAGTAAGTAGAACTAAATATTCTATCATCCTCAAGGGCCAATAAAAAATTTAATAGAAAAATTCACAAAGCATTCTGGTGTTGTAGTAATATGACGGTTTTAAAAGTGAACTAGTGAGAGATGGGTTCCATCCTTCCCTTCTTGTGAAACACAAGATAAAGGGATAAGAAATTCTGATAGGCAGGAATAGGGTGTCTGTCCAAGTATTTCATGATGTATACATTGTAAGAAAGTTGTAGGGGTGGTAGAGAAATTTTTTTGGAACAGATCGATTGAGCTTGGGCAAAGCATTTTATTATTTCAGACCGTGTGTCATTCCCTAGAGTATCATTTCTTTGTTTAGCTTGGGTGTAATGTTTCCCCCATTTCAGACCACACGTCATTCCCTAGAGTATCATTTTTTGCTTGAGAAGACACATTAATACAGGCGAGACCCAAATAAAGAATCTTATTTCTATAAGAATGACATTTAGTATGTATTAGAAATTACCCACCGGCATTTAATATATATAGATTATTTTGTTAAAAGATGAAGAATATGGATAAAATACTTACTGAAACTTAACCCTGTCTACTTCAAATCTTGTTTCAATAATCCCAGATGTCAAGACACGACATCGTAGCAAGTCCTGTAGAAGATGCAAATCAAACATTACTCTTGAACCGCATGTTTCGACAGTTTACTGTACAAGCCCTTCAAGCAATGCATCATGGGGTACCATGGGGTTAAATCATTTTTATCCAACAGATCCCTTATTGCTAATAAATAATGTGTAGTTCCGAAAATTATCCATACCCTGTCCTCACGGAGGAATTTTTTAAGACACCCCTCTACCCCCTGGAAATTCCAATTTTCTTCCATACAAACTCTGTATTTTTTGTTCTTTCTCTGACTCCCCTACTCTTCGGAAATTCCAAATTCCTCAGTGGGGTGGGTATGGATGATTTCTGGAACTACACAATGTGCATTTTGTTCTAGCTTGGATACAATGATATTAGTTCATTGAGCTACAAATAAAGTCAGGTACTATGGAAATCACTAGAGTGGTAAAACGACCGTTGGAATACACGTCTCGCAGTGATACCACATGATGAAATTAGCTGTCAATAGAGAAACTGGACTTCAAAGTGGGTGATCAAGTAAACGTTAAAAAAAGCTGCTTTGACATCGCATGCAAGGGGCCTGTAGGTTCCTGTCAGAATTGATCAAATTGTTGAATTGTTGACACACGAAGGATATAATACGATATCATTATTTACACATGAAAACACACCCTCCTCTTAAGATTTAACATGCATTCCAAAACATTTAGTCCCAAGGACAGTTTTGGGATGTAATGTCAAGTTCATACCTGCTCAGATGGGAGGTATTCTTTTTGTCTGATAGTTTCAACCCTGTCAAGAAAGCTGAAAAAGACAAGTTGAATAAAATTAGATCACTTCCTAAATGAGAGCTATTCTTGGGGTGCATGTTATGCCATAGCAATAACAAAGCATTAGCTTTTCTTATTAGATTTAAAACCAACATGGTGGCTGTTTCACTCTTATTTTTATCTCAAGAGATTTCGAGTCATGGTTGCACTCCACAAATATAAATATACCTTTTTTTAAATATATATACCTTCATTTCAGGATATATATTGATCTAAACAATTTAAGCCCATTATTGTACTTCAGATAACCGTATGATAACACAGGAATCATGCTGACTTAGTTTATTATTTGACAGTACAACGCAGGAAAGATTATGTCATGTCCGCCATAATATTATCAGTTGACGAACCCCTTAAAAATTCCGAAAGTTATTTTGGGTGTTCTATTTTACTCTATGTAGTCTATGTATCTGTTCAATAGGATGTAGATAATATAGATCGTACTTTGAAAATCAATTTCTCAAGATAAATGTGCTAATGTCGAAACGTCTTTGGTGTATTTCACTCTATGTTAATAACCACCCATGTATCTGTTTACAATAGACATGGTGGTTAAAGTGGCATAGGGGTCATATAGCATTACTGTCACAAATTTCTCCAACAATAATTTATGCTGTAACGTTATTAAAAATTTCTGTGCACGTAAATTAACATCTACGATCAGTAAACAAGTCAAGAGAATGTGCTGGCAAATAAATATAGTAACCGTTTTAAGTATTCAGATTTTAGAATATCAACAATCTACTCGGCTTCTGTTATAGCACAGTAGAGAAATGCTTATCTTGTGTGTGTGTAGATCTTAAACGTAAGCCCAGTAAAAATAATATGACATCCTGGAATGGAACCTCTGGAATTCAATTGAATTGGAATTGAAGACTTTTATTTTACAGTAAAGAAAAACAGTTATATACTAAAGGATAAAGACTTTATCTGGTATAAAGTTCCAAGCATATGATATGTATGGTCGCTCAAATTAGATCAAAGGTTTATGAGTTATTCATGATTTTTTTAAAAATTAACAATGAAAAGGAATGGTATAACTAAAAAAATGATAAAATTTTGTATCATTTCAATTTACTGTTGGGAATTTTTCTCTGTAAACAAAAAATATTGATAGAAATACAGGAAATCAGACATAGTCATGACAGTTAGACTACAGTAGGTTATCAAGACTGCTACTGCCTACTCATTCACGCACACCCACTCAGTAAAACAATGTGTAGACCACAGTAAAAATAGATCTGGAGGTACTAACTGAATATATGGAATATTAACAGCAACCTACTGTGGTGCTTTTAAAAACAATGTAATGAAAATCTATAAACAATATTATTCATTTTTCATCTCATTTTTTAAAAAAATTAAATTTCTTTTTCTTTAATGTATTTTTATTGAGCAAAGGGTGTTGCATGTTTTTATCTAAACCCAGACAGCTGACAGCATTAGAATAACTTGGAGTTCAAGTTTAACTATTTATAGAATGAAACTCCTCCAGGGGATAGATGTATAGATAGATAAAATAATTTATACTCAATATGCACAATGAGCCAGAGACTCATATTAAGTACATTTGAGGAATATAAAATATAATTGACATGATATATTTATATATATACCACAAAAATAAGGCATATTGTAAAACATTGACTGGACTGGACTCGAAACTTCTTGGTGGGGCCCACCTTTTCGAAGTGAAGATTCATGTTAGTAAAATAAAATAGGGAAAAGTAGATAGATTTCTGTAAAGTAAGAAAACCATCAAAATATTCTCAATTTTAGAAGCAAATTTTAAACACCTACACAAAGCACAAAGTATAAGAGGAAAGAAAGATTCAGAGTTACAAAATAGAACTTTTGCTTTTGATATAAATGGCAGATATTCTCAAAATAAGCTGCCATTTACTGTGCAGTTTTCAGCATTTTCAAGACAACTTTTGAAATGATTAAATTAAATATAAAGCTTCTTTCTTTCTTTCTACTAACTTTGGCAAAGAATATTATTGGAAAGTAAAAGATGCAAGGAGAACAAAAGGTTACTTTTGTGGTGAAAATGTTCATAATTATCACTCCTAGCAGCAGCACAATTCGCATAAGGTCTTATTGTGAAAATTATTTAAAAAAAGGATTATACTTTTCCGCTACGATGAGGATAACTTTTAAATTTACAAAATACCCACGGTGTAGAAGGCATATTCACGGTCTAGTACACCCAAAAATATTTATAAGAAGGAATAATGTATATTCCATGAAAATTAAGAGAATCAATCATTATTGCTAAAAATATGTGCCATGTTATTTCTATTCTGTTTTAAATAATATCATCAGCAATACATTTATTTGTTTATAGTTGATCTGACACTGAGAAATCTGATACAAAAGAATAAAAAATGAAAATAAAAGTTGAAGAGGAAGTAGATTTTCTAGAATATGGCTAAAAATAATTGATTTTAAATTAGAATATCTATAAATAGGATCAAGACAGGTATGAATAACAAAAACTGAGAACTATTACAAACAATGTAATTTCTAATTTAAACCTGTGCTTATAAGGTAAGGGTCAGGCAACTTTATTGTTGTAATAATAGTTATAATTAACATAATCAATCAAGCAGAATTTACAGGGGGAAAATGTAAATAGAAACTACAAGAAATCATGAGAAAGTCAGCTTACAATTCTTGGTAATAATCTTAGTGTTGTTGCATTTGATTTTGTTTTAGAAAAGCACTTTTGAACCTATCTTTTTACAGATCAACAGTTTTGAGTCAGTGAATAATTGAACAAACTATAAAAATATACTAAATTGTAGGATGATGCTATACTTTAAACTAGTATAGTACGAAATAATACTTTTTAAGAGGTTGAAGATAATCCATAATGAAACTTTGAAATAACTGACCTCATTGCATTGATCAGTAATTCTCATAGGATAAAAAATTTCTTGGTCAAGAAATTTTCTGTTACATAGAACAAATCGAAAGTATTTTTGTCTACGAAATAATACTTTTAAAAAGAAGTTGAAAATTTATAGTAAAGGGTTGAAATAACTGATCCCAATGCATGAATAATCCTTATCACACAAACTTATAATCTAGAAATGAAAGCATATCAGTATAGAATAGTGAATAAGAATTTTTCTGCTAGTGAGAACAAAAAAGAAAGCAAGTTTGTCTGACATGTTATAATGGATTTTTAATATTTTATTGAGGTATTTATTTAATATCGTTATTATTGTGTGTAGAGAGATAATGTAATAGTGTTCCAGGGTTCTTATGGTAAAATACTGTAGTATCCCGATTATAAGCACACCCATCTGCAAACAGAAAAGTCCTCGCAGTTATAAGGCCTAGTTCATATGTCACGCTTTTTTCATGCACAACCTAATTGCCTATCTATGTTGACCCAATTACAATATGATCGACTATGATTTGGATGTTGTACTGATTGTGCTTCCGTTGATGAAGTACTGCCATGCAGCCCTGTAGCACAATAAAAATACCTTTTTAACTTATCTAACACTTTTGGATTGTCTCTCCTGCACCCTCCGCCTATCGTAATCTCATTTTTTTAAATGTTGTCTTTCGTATGTGTGGAAAATAAAAGCCTTTGAACCTTAAGACCACATTTGAGTTGCAAAGCTCTTACACAGCTATTGTTGAATGAACAGAATTACTTTAAAAAAACAACTGAATTTTGAAGTTTCATTCTCCCTTTTATAAGCCCCCCACCCATCATATTTTTTCGTTCAATGTTTTTATCGTTCAATTTTATTATAAAATGTTTACATAAGAAGTTACTCATTACACCCATCATAAGCCCCAAAAAAACCCTTACGGAACTTTATAAGCCTGTTTGAGGCTTATAACCGCGATTGTACAGTGTCTCTGTGTTCATACATCTAATGAAAAGAAGAGAATTCCGAATTGCATTTCTTGATTGCCTGGCTGTTTCATTATTATTCTGGTATTCAAGGATTTCGGACTGGAGTAATCATAAGTTTCAATTTCACTGTGGTTTACAGCATTCCATAGACTCAGGCATTTCAACAGCTTGTTGTGAAATTGTTTTTAAACTGCCGCCAGTCAAGGACATAAAAAGTGCCGACTGATTATTTTTGATTGACAGTGGCGAAATTGGAAACTGTAGTAAACTACAGTTGAACTTTACTTAATGGACAGCCACCCAATCAAAAACGACCCTACCCCAACTCCCCTAATTTAGCTGGTTAAAAATGTGATTATTTGATGTCAAACATGTAGAGTGACTGCTCAGTGTCTGAAGCCAGAGCCTCATAATGCACTTGACACCAGAACAAATTGGAATTTAGGAGTCCATCTTTAATGGGAGGAAAACTAGAGAAAAACCCTCAAAGAACTAACAATCAACTCTACTTGCATGTGACACTGAGCCCAGGAATGAATGGTGACCTTAACCTACTCATATACTAACATGCAATATACATATAATATACATATAGACACCCAGTTAATATAGGTTCTCTTTTTGGTCCTCTTGGTGTCTGTATTTATCAGGATATATTGTAAAATAGAAACGTCATGATTGACATGGTAAGAGCCAAGCAAAGGTTGCTTTCTTGTTTTATGGGAAGATCGCTGATCGATTCTTTCCATCATTCTATTACCAGTGCAAGTGTAGCTTTACAGTGCTAACCAAAAGACCATAGGCAACTTGAAGTATTCCAAGAATGTTCTATTGTTCTTTTGCCAATCAAAATTGACTTTCTAACCGCAAGATAACGGAAACATAACAACAACGCTTCTTATTGGTTAAGAAACATTCTTAAAATATTTTTATGTGCCCATGGTTTTTTGATTCTCACTGTAAGATTAATAATTCTTAAAAAATGCTTGTGTTGTAAAGAATCAAACACGATTGACATCACACACAAGTGCTGTTAGTGTAACTCTTCCTTCAATTTTCATAAACATGCGAACTCTGTGTCTGCGAGCTGCTCG